AAAATTTATTAAAATTTAAAATAAAGTCAAAAAGATTTAAAGCTTTCTTTAATTTTTGTGAAAGTAAAAAAAATATTAAAAACTTTTTATAAATAGAACTAAATGAAACATATTATTTTTAAAATTTTCTTCGCAAAACATAAAAAATTTATATTTCTTTTCCCTTAAAAAGACAAGCTCCAGGAAATAAATAAATTCCCCAACTTCAGGGGATCTATACTCCCATTTAAACACGATAGCACTTGGAGCAGGATCTTAAGGTGTAGAGAGGACAAGTAGTAATTCATGCTAGTTGATTGATGAATAACTGAACATAAAAGTAGCCATGAGAGGTTGGGACGTGGGGTGGTGTGTGGAAAGGTGGAGTCGAGTTTTACTATGAGCAGCTAGAGCACTATGAGGACGATAAGGACATGCACCAGAATGGTTTGATCTTGACCCACTCTATTCTTGTGAGTTGTGAGACAGGCTATTATCCCAAGATTATCAAGGCCATCATTTAAACTATGAGGACTTCTCCTAAATTCACTTGGACTGTCAGCCTTGTTAGTTCTGGTACTAGTCCATCATACTTCTCAATTGTTAAGGGGAGAGAGAAGAAGGGAGAGAAGAGACTGATTTCATTCACAAAAATGTGCCAAGGACGTAGGATACAAGATATACCCTAAACCTAGACACGTGTCCCAAAGGGTAAGGTCCTATGCTATCAATAACTAATCTGTAATGCAGAAATATATGACAAGACAATAATAACCTATTAGTATAAAGACAAAAAAGCCATCAAATAACTATAAAATAGCATAATGTGTAACAATACTCCCCCCTTAAAAAACATCCTTATCCACAAGGATAGTGGTAGAAGCTAGAGCATATGTCTTAAAGTGAGGGAACTGCTGTTTTATGGCTGAAAGATCTTCCAAAGTAGCGTCTTCAGGTTGAGAAAATTTCCAGTAAACCAACACTTGAGTCATCGGTAGATTATGGCGCTTAATGATTTTTCTACCCAGTAATTCCTCTGGTTCCAGAATAAATTGACCATGATCATCCACCGGGGTAAGGTGGGGGTAGTGGGAACAGCTGTGCTAACATACTTTTTTAACATGGAAACATGAAAAACTGGGTGGACCTTAGTATGAGGAGGAAGGTCCAGTTCATATGCAACTTCCCTAAGATGCCGTAACACCTTGAATAGGCCAAAGTAACGAGCAGCTAGCTTATGCAAGAAAGAGTTTGTTCAAGAGATTCTTCCTAAAAGGGTGTAGTTTGAGAAAAACCATGTCTCCTGCAACAAATTTTCGCTCAGACCGGTGCTTATTAGCTTGTTGAATCATCTTATGTTGAGCCTTCAATAGGTGTTGTTTCGGAAGCTGAATAGTAAGCTCTCGTGAATTGCAAGTTCTATCAACTATTTCATTAGATGAATCACTAGCAATGTAAGGCAGATGAGTAGGAGGAGGCACCCCATAAACAGCTTCAAAGGGAGACATACCAATGGAAGAGTGGAAGGTAGTATTGTACCATAATTCAGCAAGTGGCAGCCACTTAACCCACTGTTTAGGAAAATCTCCCGACATCCAACGGAGGTAACACTCCAAACAGCAGTTGAGTACCTCGGTTTGGCCATCCGTTTGGGGGTGGTATGCTGAAGAAAATTGTAATTTGACCCCATACAACCGTGCGAGTTCCTTCCAGAATTTCCCACAAAAAATAAGATCCCAGTCTGAAACAATAGACTTAAGAAACCCATGCAACATAACCACATTATCCATGAAGATATTGGCCACATCTACAGCAGTAAATGGGTACTTGAGAGCCATGAAATGAGCAGCCTTAGATAAACGATCAAAAATAACTAAAATAGTAGTCTTAGAATAAGATTTGGGAAGGTCACTAATAAAGTCTATTGAGAGCTCGGACCAAATATGTTCCGGAATAGGTAAGGGTTGGAGAAGACTAGGGGAGGCAATTAATTTTGGTTTAAAGCGCTGACATGTAGTGCATTGATGTACAAAATTGCAAACATCCTTTTCCATTCCTTTGCAATAAAAAAAGAGGCAAGCCGTTTGTAGGTGGGAGTCATACCTGAATGGCCCCCAATGCCATGAGCATGAAAAAACTGAAGTAAAGACTCCCGAAGACCTCGATCAGCACCCACCACCAACTTACCCTTTCGTTTCAACAATTGGTGTTCCCAAATGTGCTTAGCATAAGAAAAGGGATTAGTTTCTAGACTTCTAATCAGCTGCTGTAAATGATCATCAAGAAGCCAAGAATTGTGTACCCTCTCATATAATGGAGAGATTGGCATTGAAATGGCCAAACAATCCCCTTCGGAATGCCTAGATAATGCATTAGTTGTAGCGTTATCACATCCTTTGCGGTAAACAATTTCATAGTCGAGCCCCCAAAGTTTATGCAACCACTTACACTGCTCGACTCAAGTCACGTTGCTCCAAGAGATGCTTCAAAGGTAAATGGTTAGTACGAATGATGAATTTGCGTCCACAAAGATAGGAACGCCACTGCTTGACAGCAAAAACAATGGCCAACAATTCACGCTCATACGCAGACAATTGTCTCTTACGATAAGAAAGCGCCTTACTAGCAAAAGCCAAAGGATGGCCATTTTAGGATAATATTGTGCCTAATCCATGACCTGAAGCATCAGTTTTGATCATAAAGGTCTCATTAAAATTGGGAAGAGCAAGCACCAGCGAGGAAGTCATGGAAGCCTTGAGGGATTTAAAAGCTGATTAAGCCTTAGGAGACCAAACGAAAGGCTCATTTTTCTTTAACAACTCAGTTAGGGGACTGCTGATAGAACCATACCCTTTGACAAAGCATCGATAGTAACTCGTAAGACCGAGGAAGCCTTGTAGTGCTTTAATGGAAGAAGGGATGGGCCAAGAAGCTATGGCCTCTAGTTTCTTCGGGTCTTCCTGAACCCCATCAACTGTGATGACATGACCAAGATAATCAATCTGTGTTGCTGCAAAAATGCATTAAGAGGCCTTAACAAAATGTTGATGCTGCTATAAGAGTGATAATGTTGCTCTCAAGTGCTCTTAGTGGGCTGCCCACTGTTTGCTATAAACTAAGATATCATCAAAGAAAACTAGGATAAACTTATGCAAGAAAGGTTTGAAAACCAAATTCATAAGGCTTTGAAAAGTCGAGCATATTAGTGAGACCAAACGACATGACCATGAATTCATATAAGCCTTCATGTGTGCAGAAGGCTGTTTTAGCAATATCAAATTCATTCATTCAAATTTGGTGGTAACCGGCTCTTAAATCCAGCTTAGAGAAAAACTGTGCTCCAGTAAGTTCGTCCAAGAGCTCCTCGATAACTGGAATAGGAAATTTGTTCTTAATAGTGGCTTCATTTAATCTTCTACAATCAACACAGAAATGCCATGTGCCATCTTCATTTAATCTTCTCTGCCCTCAATCGCATTCACTGTTCGGGTAGAGGGTAGAGGCTCGATCTCTTTTAATGCATCCTCAAAGAGTTTTTAATCATCTTCGACGATGAGGGCGAAGAGATGGGAATCTCGGCATCTATGGGTGCTGTTATATTTTTCATTACACCAATAACAGAGCCCCTTGTGACGTCGTTCGTCCATCTCTCGCTTAGAAAGCTGCTTAGTGGGTTTGGATGAAGCTGAACTGGACATACTGGTGGAGCTGAACGATTTGGGCTTATTAACAGTAAGGCCCGTAGACGGAAGGGGGTTGGGGTTCGGTTCGGTCTTGTGGCCCGATAGAGAGGAAGGCAAAAATCGAGAAGCAGCTGATGCAGAAAATGCAGAGGAGGTGTGAAAAGGCTTACGCAATACTGAGGGGGGAGCATTCTCGTGAATCGCCTTAATGGTTGCAACCTGACGCCTTGCCATTTTCATTACACTGGCCAAAGATGTAGGTTGTAGACTAAGAACACTCTACTGCACATCACTCCTAAGGCCGCCTATATAACAATTCATGGCAGCAACTTCAGATAAGTCGACTTCGGTGAGTAACTCATCAAATTTCTCTTCATACTCTTCCACAGACTCTTGCATCTAGAGCTTCTTAATAGCAATCATGGGGTTTTCATCCTTAATATCCCCAAACTTAGCTTCCATCTCATGAAAATATTCATCCCAAGAGAGGTCCGACAAATGCCTTTATTTTACAAAAGCGAGATGCCAATGCAAGGTGCATTTCTCTAAATGGATATTGAGGGATGCGATGCTCAACAGGTGTTTCGTCCACCTCAAAAAATTGGCAACACCTATAAGCCCATCCTTTGAAATTGATACCATCAAATTTCGAAAACTCTACTCTGCTGTACTTGGTTGAAACAGAGTAAGAAGGTTGAGAGGTGGGAATAAGTCCTTGAAACGAACCAAATTGAGGATTGATAAGGGAGGAGGAGGAGTTGTTGCGAAGGATGTGGTTAGTCTAGGAAATGAGGGTGGTGGAATATTGATTGGTGGGAGAGAGGCCGAAGCTGCTGGTCTAGGTGGTGTATTTGTCGCGGTGGGAGCTTGGGAAGGTTCACCGACTTCAAGGTTAGCAGAACGTGAAGGTTGATTAATAATCATGAAAAGCTTGGCATTAATGTCATTGAGTTGGGTAAAAAAAACTAGGTAGAAAACTAGTTTATGGCTAGCCGCATGTCGGATATTTCCTGTGTGTGCTTGTCCACAGCAAGTTGAGTGCTAGCCACAAATGCAAATTGCATCTCCAGTCGATGCTCAAGGTCGCCCACGCGTTCAGTAGAGGACCAAGTCTCTGGTGAAGCCATGGCTGAAAAGACAGCTCTGATACCAAAATGTTAAGGGGAGAGAGAAGAAGGGAGAGAGGAGCCTGATTTCATTCACAAAAATGTGCCAAGGACATAGGATACAAGATATACCCTAAACCTAGACACGTGTCCCAAAAGGTAAGGTCCTATACTGTCAATAACTAATCTGTAATGCAGAAATATATGAAAAGACAATAATAACCTATCAACATAAAGACAATAAAGCCATCAAATAACTATAAAATAGCATAACATGTAACATCAACATTCAATAGCATTATAATAGTTTAAGAATTTAAACTCAGTTGCAGTAGGTCTTGTTATCCACTACATTTATTCATGTTAATTATATTTGCAATGCCAAAGCAGGACTAAACTATAATGCATCCTTCCATCACTGTAACAGCTTTCCCTCGCAATAGCACCCTTTGGTTCTGCTCATCAAGATGAATATTGAGAACTCCACCTCTTCGCGATGCCTGCTCATATAATATAAAGAGTCAAGACAACAATCACAAAGATAACTCCAAACTAACGGATAGACAGTACCTGATAAGCATTAAAATCAAGCTTCCCAAGTTTCTTGCTCCAATAAGATGCTAAAGCACAATGCACACTCCCACAAACAGGATCCTGAAAAGAAATGAAAGTGACCCACCATTATCTCATTACTTTTGTTTTATTATCTAGAAATTTAATGGACGTTCCCTGTAGTATTTTCCCTTTCTGGTAGATTAACCATTCTCAACAAGTCCGTAAGAAGTGATCTCATTTTTTTCATCAAGGCCAAGTAAAGACCAAAGGTCTTGAGCAACTAATGTGGCAGAAACAACTCAATATTAAGTATCATTAATCTCTTCGTGCTTGTTCTAAGTTAAAAGTACGTTTGTATAAATAAGAATTCCTCTTGTTACATGATTTCTCCTTCATATAGGATCTATGGAGCCATGACTTAAAAGTACATTTTGTGAAACAACCCTTCCTATTTGATAGAAAATCAGCTCTTTATCTCATTGAGGTAATTACATGGATCACAAGACACTGTACTAGACTTTGTAGTATTACGTAGAAAATTATCGAATAGTTTGATTCAAAATTTGAATTAAACATGTTTAATGCTAATCACAAGCCAAAATCAGAAAAGGTGCCAGCTGTGTGACAAACACCAGAGCAGCACCTATGAGGCGGTAAATCAAAATGGGAGGGGGGATTTAAGAAATAATGCATCATTACTTGAGCATAAAATAAACCATGACAGATTAGAACCATTAGATACAGTCATATAGTTATATCTCACTATTTACCTCATTAATTCCAAATTTTGGGCAGAAGAATCTGCTGTAGAAGTCAAATCCTGAGTCTGAAGGAGCAATGGAAGTGACAATCAACCCTCTTCCAGGACATTTTACTATAGCATCAAATTGCGGCTTATGTTCTACGACAGATTTCCCAGACGTGACTTCAACCTACAAGACATCAGAAGCCTAAAACCAAACATGTTTGATATCCAATAATTAGACTTAGAGTATCATGGGATATATATTTTTTGCAGTCAACAGTTTGAAGTTATGGTAGTATTTAGCCATTGTCATAAGCAGGCGTTGTAATATGGGAAAATGATAGAACTATGATTAATATGCCATCAAAGAAAGGAAGAGAACAAATTTAGGAATTACCAATAGGTCATCTCCGATGGTTGTCCTTTTTATTTCAAATATGGAAGCACCCTTTAACACTGCCGAAATTTGTGAAGTCTCAGTAGAATGAAATTCTGTAGGAAGATCAACAGGAAAGTTTAATTCAATGTAGTATCTGTCTTGATTTTCAACATTTTCCAAGTCAGAGGTACTTGTGATACCAATCTCTGGTATTTTTTTTGCAGTCAATACTCCGGATAACGTCACGAATTCAACAATATTGGAAGCCACTAAACCAGAAGAAAAGAGAGTGTGCGCAGCAGCTAAGGTAGCATGGCCACAAAGTTCAACCTACAAAAGAGCACCAATTTTGTTAATGATGAACTCCTCATCAAGCACTTTTTGAGTGATAGGCAAGCCACAAATCATGCTTGATTTTTGAACAGTTTTGACTTAAACAAAATCCAGAAACAAACTTGAATAGCATACTGTTGGCCAAGTTAGAAGTCAACTTCCAGTTTTCCCCTAACACATGCTAACTGAATCACGTAGCTCAGAGAATGCAAAATAATACTTGTTGAATCGAAAGCTATCAATTATCATGAATAAATTCAGTCTTCAAAGCCATTCCTAAATTGACTCGTGAATAAACTCAGATTACTGCCACGCGATAGAGGAATCGTTAACTGCACAAGACCATTCCCATATCAAATCCGCATATACAATCCAAGAAGAGCTATTTTACAGCGATATATTCAGAAATTAAATTGTTTTAGAAATCTTACCTCGCAGACGGGAGTGAACCATCTGAGACGGAAACGAGGGTTAGAGCTAGCATTGATCAAGTGGGGAGGACCCTCCGACTCAGCAATTCGAGTCAAGTAACAGGTCTCCGAGATATTGAACTCAGCGGCTATCGCTTGCAACCAATTGTCGTCCCTCTCTTCCTCCAGTAGACACACTGCTGCGGGGTTTCCCTTGAAAGGTGACTCTGTGAACGCGTCCACCTATTTATCAATACAGAGAAAGCCATTCACGATGATGCATGACAAACACACATAAAACACAGTGAAACAAGAAACCAACCACCGAATATTTGACCGGTTTCTTTGCCATTGACGGAGAAAGAGAAGATGTTCCAATGATCGAAGGAAAAGACAGTGAAACCCCAAACACCCTCCCGATCCCGAGCCGGCCTTAATAGGGTGAGATATCTGATTATGCGAGCTTCATGTTTTCTCAGAGTTACTTTATTGCGGAATAAGCTATACTCTATGGCATTGTTATTATTATCTACTCTCCTCTGATTAAAAATATAAAATATTTTTTTTAAAAGTTAAATATTTAAAAATATAAAATATTTTTAATTTTTTGAGATGTAATTATTATTTTTTTAAAAAAATATCCTCATTGATAATAATTTTATATTTATTGTAGGATATATAATATGGGTAAATATAAAAAAAATGGTTAGTTTGATAGTAAGTAATTACTTTATTGGGGATGAGATTCAGTTAAAAATGTTTAATATTTTTTAATGGAGGAAGTACTATGTATTCAAAATTAACAACATTCATAAGTTTATGTTTTTCCTCCCTTAGTATGCAATCTTTAATTAGACAGCATTAGTACACGAGGAATTTAATGATAAATGTGAATGACATAATCGTAGCTAACTCTAATGAAGAAGTATAAACCATAAACAAAAGTTTAAGCAAATAATTAAAGGTATATCACAAAAAAAATTATAATTCATTTTTAATATTCTCAAATATCTTCTTGAATACAATATTGATTGTTCTTGAGAATGCCTTGTGACTTTTATTATGGATTAATATTAAAGTTCTTTTTATGCAAACTTAATTTACATTTGACCAAACTAATTACATGTAAGGAAGAACTTATAATGATTAATATTTTGTTGGTAAAGTATCAAGTGATTTTTTTTTACCAAAAAATATCAAGTGAAGTATTCAATGTGTAACATCCTAATTTTCTTATCTAGTAATTTGCTATTGATTTGGGATGGATTAGTAATTAATAAAGGATTAAAGATTTAGATGATTACTTGATGATTTGTGTCACTGGGATGTTAAATAAACAAATATGGGTGGAAGGATCGGGTCCCGAAGCAAAGTGTATGCATGCAGTGAGAATTATTTTTGCTATGCCACGTGCCACAACTGAAACTATCTGCGCTCCAGCTTATGTACCAAAAAATGACCTTAAAAGTCATAGATCAACTGTAGAGAGGAAAGAAAAAAAAAACTTGAAGGGAGAAGAAACGAAGCAAGGGTTAGCTAGGGTAAGGGATTTCAAAGCATTAGAAGATACCTTCAATTAATAATTTATTAGGTAAACTTTGTATAACCCTTATCTCCAATTCTACTATAATTTCTCTTAATATGAGTTTTAGAGAAATTGAATTGAGAAAATTTAAAAAGTTTGTTTCTTACTTTATAGTACTAAAAAAGTTCTCGGGAGTTAAATTTGAGTTTTGTAACTAATTTGGTGTTGAATGATAGAACTTTAAAGTTGTAGGCTTTATTTGCTCTAAACCTAAAGAAAAATTGGAGTGGAAAGTTGAGTAAAAGAAAAGTGGGATTGTTTAAAGTGTTGAATAGTGGTAAAATGATTTAAGTTGATGAGATTTGAAGTGAACATATGTTATATGCTATGTTTAACAATATATTATGCTATACTTGCTTATGATTGCATGTGATAGTCAATAGTATAGAGTTACTCTGTTAATAAAATTATTATCTCACCCTATTATTATACTTTTACAGGATAGAGTAGTGATCAAGGTAAGGGGAAAGAATCTGGACTGGCATAGTGGTGTCGTCGTTGTGGAGATTCTTGAGTTTGTGTAATGAACTAAATTAATGCAAATATTGTGTATATAAGTTGCCATAAGAACTATGTGCATGTTTAAGTTATGATTTGTAAAAATTTGTAGTGATTTTGTGAATCTTAACCCATATATGGAAATGTATAGTGAAATGATTAATTAAGATTTAGTTGTAATATATTATGAACAGGTAAAGTTGAGATAATGTGGTGTAAAAGGCCAAGCAAGCCAGTTTATGCCAAATGGTGTAAAGTTTATATTTGTGAAAATGGGCTGTTGAATGGCCAAATTGTAATATAAGTGTTTGTATAATATAGACTGTGGTCAATCATGTGTATTAGGTTCTTTTGGACTTGGCTCATGGCCTAGAATGGTCTAATAAGATAATGTGATTGATTTGAGAACTTGGATGTGCTAAAATTTTTACAAAAACTGACTTTTTGTACTCACGTGCCTAAATTTTAATTGGACTGTTGGACATTAGCAAAAACAGGCTTGTGTAACACGATGCATTACACATCACACTACGGTGCATGGTACAGAGAAAGTCAAGGCGTGTGGGTCTATGCCATAAGCTGCGACACATGTAGTGTACGTCACAGCTTATATCTCATAATATGACCTTATTTCCTTATCTTAAAGGCATGTGATGATTAATATGAATACATATGATTTATTTTTGATATGTTATGATTTTGTTGGTTTTGCAAAATAAGTCTTTGGCCTAAACTTTTCAAATAAAATATTTGTATGTACAATTTGGCACGTGTGAGTGGTGATTGTAACATCCTCAATTTTAAACTAGATTATCTAAGCTTAATCAGATTAATTTAGTGTGTGGCCTAAGGGGCCTAACGGGCGTATTTAGTTTCAATTTCAACCTTAAACGCAGGCCCGAAGGAGAATCGGGTCACCCGGGAATGAAAGAGGAAGAAATTCTGAAGAGAGAGATTCGATGCCACGTGCTATGGCTTTTAGATAAGCCGCTGCAGTGTATGTGTGGCAACACGCTTGGGAGGTGCTTTCAATGCCATGCACTACAGCACATTGTGCATTTGCCACAATGTGTGGTCACTTTTTTACTATAACAAGTCATAAATATGATGCAATAGAGTGTTGGAAATTGTGTCCTAGGGCTAATCATTGTACAATGTACATTGTTATTTAATTAATTTCTCTTTTGTTATTATATCAATTGCATGTTCACTATGATAATTGTAATATCCTCCTCCAATTATCCCAAATGATTAGGAAAATGAGACTAGTAATCATCAAACACAAAATTTTCATTGATTAACAAAATGGGGACCCTAAGATTATACAACCAAAATCAAAATCAAGCCTTGCAAAGAGGCGAAACAAAGTTTGCAAATACGCGGAAGCAAGGGATTATCTCATAAGTGGTTACATAGGTGCAAAAATTTGAAACAAGAAAAATTTTGAAAAAATTAAAAGGCGTGCGCCGCGACTCGTTGAACATGCGACTTCTATGACACGTACCGCGGCTCGTGGCACCATGCGCCGCAGCATAAATGCATGATTTTTGACAGTGAGTTCTGCTGTCAGTTTGATAGCTTTAGGGCCAACTTCTGACGCGCCCAAAATCTCTGTCCGACGTCCGAATGATGTGAACTAAGAGTCTATGGAAAGCTCTTTCCAGACTAACTATTGGCGTTGGTCTCAAGCTCAAATTCTTTTTAAAATAAAAATTGGACACTTTTTTTAAAACTTTTACCTTTTCATCAACTTTCGCAAATTTTAAGTGTCTTAACCCAAAATTAAGGACCAATGGCCCCCGATACCAAATGTCCACAAACAATTCAACAAAATTAACTCATGCAGTGCACCAAAACACAAGAAATATTCCCATATCAGATTTCCACTACTCAACCCCTTAACTCCAAATCATAGGAAAGGGGAGTTTACCATAATTTTCATCACAATTTTCCAAATCAACACATAATAATCACTACCCTCACTTGCATTAGTATTTTGGCCCTATCAACAAAACACATGATAATCAACTCTCTCCCTAGGGCCCAAAATACCATTTCAATTTACATTTTACTTAATGCAAGTAAGTAACAAAAAGGAAAATCCTAGTTGGCAATAGAAATTGTTATACACATAAATTACCCAAAATAAAGAGGCCTATTACAAATGGATCGTGATCCTAAGCCTTAGGTTGTTTTCCTCTATCTCCACTTCTTGAGCTATTCCCTGAAATATTAAAGATAACAAGGTGAGTGTAACTACTTAGTAACTAAGGTCCGACTGGCCCATATTAATGCATAATAATTAATTTAAATGCAAGTGGCAATTGATACAATATTTTTACCCATAAGAAACATTTGAAATTAAGAATTCACAACTTAGCTCACATATGGCATCCACTTGGAAAAACAATGCCTTTAGCATCTTTCATATAAATAGAATTGCTCACATAAATCATTGACAAGCCTAATGGCAAAAATTATTACTCAACTCAACATATCCATATTATGGACTCAATATAGACAACAATTGCCTTTTCTCACTATATGCATGATCACACCTCCCTTATATTCTCCTTATTCCTCTGACACAAAACCGTGGGCTATAACTCAATGGGATAGTCTATATTCTTTGACTTCCCTAGCCTAACCACTTGTGAGGAGATTACCTAGCCAAAGCATACCCAACTCACTTATGTATCATAGTTTCCCCCATTTTTCACACTATAGGGTGTCATACACCCTAGACTAGCTTCCTCATTAAACCGGTAGATAGTTAGCTAGGTTTGAGTCCTCATTGAACCAGTGGAACAGTCTCTCATTGAACAAGTGGGATGATATGAATAGAATCAATCTAGGCTGTCCATCACACAGATGGGGCCTTACCACATGGACTTATCATCTACTCCACTTCGTAGGCAAACTCTCGTCTCTCTAAATCATGCCATGGATATTCATGTGATAATTCACACATATACAATTCATAAAACTTCATATTACACAATCATTAAACTTTTCAACACATTTCATGGAACTTAAAAAACAAACAAGTTATTGAACTCTAAATTTACAATCATTGTACCTCACACTTTCAAAATCATTTAACTTTCCAATTTTCATTGTACCTCGCACTTTTAACATCATTGAACGTCCCTATTTTCAAACATCATTGAATTCCTTCTAAATAAAGATTCATTTTTCTTCTCAATTTGTAGAAATCATTGTACTCCCAATGAATATTAATACGAAAATCCTCCACTATTGTTCTCAAGGGAAATTTTGTATCATAAGGCATAAAACTCACAAATTTGATCTAGTAAATTTCTTCATAATTTAAGCCACACTTGCATTTCTTTTATCTTATACACTTCAAATGATAATTCATAAATCAATAA